ACTTTTTAAATTCGTAACCGAGGTGGAGTGAGGGATTGGGATCCCGCTTTGATGGCGCTCCACATACAAAATGTTCGCTGCAAACTTGGGATGATTTAGGCAGTCAAAGTTTAGTTACGTCCTTCCTGTGGATCAATACTGCTCTTCGCCTTGCACTATTTTTCAATTCCGTTAGGAAGGGAAACAGTTTGAACAGAGGTTTGCAGACACACATATCTGATTCCTTTTGCATTTATGGAGTTCGCAAACAAATTTCTCGAGGTGTTTTCCGCTGTTAGGATCCAACAACCACACAATTACGATGTTCGAATCCCAAAACTAAAATGTGACAATATCAGAACCAGAAACAAAAGTGATATGGAACAAAAGACTAGTAAAGTTTGGCTTTGTCAACAGACACATCCCACTGAGAAAACAAACATGGCGGTTTGATGCTCACTTTTTCGGAAAATCCTTCCCAGTATGCATTGCGCAATGACCGGAAGTCCGAGATTCTTGATGTGTCTACTGTAAATGTGGCCAAAATGTTTTAATTTGGTAAACCGGATGTGTTTTATTGTGAAAGGAACTGGACAGCATGTATACAGCAATGTATTTTGACTATTTTGACATCTTGACTATTCAAAAACATATTAATAAATAATTAACTGTGTTGCTGCGGTGTTCAATAAAAATGTAAACACCGATGTTCCAATGAAGAAATCCACCTCAGTCATCGATTTGGAAGCCTTCACTACATAATAGACAGAGCAGTGCCTACAGTTGGAATCACACCCACAGGGAAAGTTTATCACATCAGCAGCAAAATATCAATAAGAGATTTGCAACCATGACGTGTTTTACGATCAACAGAAATCCAAGCCAGTATTATGTGGATCTATGCCAACTGCCTGTGAGTTTTAGTATCCAGAAAATATATTTTGCATCACATTTTTAGTGGCAGGGTATTTTACGGTAAACTAAAATGTTTAAGCCACAGAAAATACTCCAATACCCAGTTCTGGTGAAGGGTCTGAGGAGATGTTATTGCTTTGTCAGGAATGTTCCACAGTCTGTTGGGGAGTAACGGATTACATGTACCAGCGTTACGTAATCAGAATATAAATTATGAGTGTATTCGGTTACAGTTACTGCTTCAGTGAGTGGTATTTGGATTACAGTTACTTTGCTGAAATAAATGGATGACACGGTGACATTTTCTTGTTTTCACATTTTGAGATATATCCCATTTTTAAAATTTTATTTCAGTAATTCCAGTCATTGATGGAAACCCAAATAGACCACGCACAATAAGAGCTCTGTAAACGTCTTGTTAACGCTGGTGGTGTCAGTCATAAAATGGATGAGGTCGTTAATAATCGTCGTTAATAATGATCTGATTCTGCATCACTGTGAGTAAAAAACATCCAATATTATACTGGGGTGGCACCTTTATGTTTGTACTGAAAGTGAGTATTTTTTTTTTCTTTAATAAACAATATGACACCTAACAGTAGGGTGCACATAATTGAAGGCAGCAGTGATCTCATATAGAAAGCATTTCTCTATCAATAATCTTTTTAATATGGTTAAGGAAAGACTGGGTTTTTTATTGTCTTTTAGCAGATAAAACATCTTATGTTCAGATATGCTAGTCTTTGCTTCTCTACAGTAAACAAAAGTCTGTTCATGGAGACGTGGGCTCAGCAGCCAATTTGAAGAGAACAAACAAGAATTTTCAGGATGTGCTTGCTACATCCATGTAGTTTTAAAAAGCATGACAATATCAAATAATCCAAAGTGTTCAGATTATGTTACTTACCTTAAGCAATTTAATGGATTATGTTACAAACTACATTTTGGGGTATGTAATCTGTAATCTGTAGGGGAATACATTTTAAAGGTAACCTTGCTAACACTGTCCACAGTATACCATTACACTCACATCTCTTGCATTTTTTATAATTTTTTTGTCTATAACATGCTTGAATACCTTGAAAAACATGCATTCTTACTGGTAGCTGGGTCACCTCCGCATAGACCTCACCAGTAATTTCACATACTTGCCTCATCCATAGAGAAAAATGCGTTTAATTCGATACTGTGAAACATTTCAAGCAAAGCAGTAACATCTCCATGGAGACCCCCCACCGGCACCATCAAGTATAACAGTAGAGCCTGTATTCTTCATATTATTCCAACATAATGAGGAGCTCAGTTTCTTTCCTTGTTAAAGATAGAGAGATGTCAAACGCTTTTAGCACTGGCACCGTGCGTGAACCCGGGCGCGCAGAAGCCAATTAAGCATCCAAGTTTGGTGAGGAATAAATGTAAAATAGCCACATTGTGAAGACTTGCCTTTGATTAAAATTGTTCCCCTGAGTTTGAGATTTTACATAACAAAAAAATAATAATAATTAAAAATGGCATTGTGTTGTCTTGTTTTTAATTAAATTTTTTATTATGATTATTATTTTCTTTATTTTGATATTTTACCTAACAAAAACTAAAACAGAAGTCCCCTACTCCTTTCCAAACTGCCCAAAAACAACAACAACAACAAAAGAGAAAAAGCTTAAAAAATGGAAATTGTGAAGTTTTGTTTTTAATTTTTCTCCCAAAATGTTAAGATTTTGCATAACAAAAGCAAACAAAAAACACCCTCACCTCTTTCCACACTACACAAAAGTAGAAAAAAATAAAAAAAACTCTGACATTATGAAGTCTTGTTTTTATTTTATTTTTTTTCTCCAATTTCAATATTTGATATAACAAAAAAGTCCCCCACCCCATCCCTTTCCATACTACACAAAACAAGGAAAAAGCATAAAAAAGAAAAGAGTGAAGTCTTGTTTTAAATTTTTTTCCCCAAAATGTTGATATTTTACATAACAAAAAACAAACTAAAAAGAAAAAAATTTAATAAAATAAAATAAAATATAAAAAACATCCCCCACCCCTTTCCACACAACTCAAAACTAGAAAAAACAAAACAAAAAAACACTGACATTGCAAAGTCTTGTCCCAAATTTTGATATTTTACATAACAAAAAACCCCAAACTAAACAAACTAAAAAAAACTAAAAAAAAAAACTAAACAAAACAAATCATCCCCCACCCCACCCCATTCCGCAAAACTAGACAAAAATGAATTAATAAACAAAAAAATATATAATTAAAATAATAATACATAAATAATAATAATAATTAAAAAATGACATTGTGTAGTCTTGTTGATATGACTGTATTATTATAATTTCAGCTGCAGTTTGCACATCTGTCTATCATGGCCACCCACTCGTACAAACACCACACGCTCCGTCACTCAGTTTGACGTGTGTGTTTTGATTTGACAGTTTCTCAAGCAAATACAAAATTAGTCATCCATACCGACAATTATTATACGTGGTGAAAATGGAAATGGTAGAATGTCCATTGTTGTCTAAGAGAAACTGAGAGAACTACATAGACCATGATCCTTTGCTGTTTTCAGTTCAATCTACACACTGAAATAACTTATGAAGTGCTTTGAAACTGTAATTATTTGGATTATGATGAGAAAAATAGCATACTCACATTTTTTGCCTTCACAAAATATCGCAATAAATATTGTACCGTGAGATGGATATGAACTGGATTTTTTACATTTAATGGATCCCAGGAAAACTACGGAAGTAATGATTATGAGGTTTTCTCAATTTTAAATGAAGATCTCCTAGTATTATCATGTACCGTCCTGAATATGCAATTAGCCTGTAAATTTTCCAACGGAAATGGATGAATCATAAGAAAACATATTTTGTCGTCTACGGCTAATGAAAATACATTTGGGCTTTTTTTCTTTAATCATGGGGACATTTTTAACATTTAGAGACATGATTCAACATTTAAAATTAAATTATAATCATAAAAATACTGTTAACCCTGACATTAAGAAATGATTATTCACATCCATATTTAATCTAAAAGGGAACTAAAAGTCTATACTGCTGCATTGTGGGTAATTCAGGTAATAGTCTGAAACTCAAGTCCATTTGCATCTAATTAAGAGCAGGACCCACACTTCTCCAGAGCCATTTTCTGACATTATTGTTTCATTGTTATCCAGCTCCACTCAAACAGAGGCTACATGAGTCACTCCATCACTCACGGATTACTCACTAAAGACTCCACCTACATTTAAGGACATTAGTGAAATTACCGGTTTAATTAAGCTGTCTCTATTTAATGCAACTGACTATCTGGAAGTCTGTAGGATCTGGTCCCAAAGCCATCACCAGGAGCTTGGAGGCAGAGCCATATTCGTGTATCAGGTCTCTGGCTGCGATTTGCCCAGCTTCTTGATGTTCTTGGGTTTGATATAAACATCAGATGGGACTTTGAACTGGTCTTGGACTCTGGTCTTCTCCAGAGCCTGCACTACTGCGTCGTGGTAGGATTTCATTTTGGATGGCAGCTTTTGGAGTAGTTTTTTTGACCAGAACATGGATCACTGGCAGGAGGTGTCCAGAGACTAGTTACCTTGGCCTATTAAAACTTGCACTGAATGTGGGGTCTACTGTAAACAAGTAGATGTGTTAGTTTCAGAGTAGTTTCATTGTAGTTAGCTCCTCCCTTCAGGTAGATATAAGGAAGTATCCACCAGTATTCTGACCAGAACTGAAGAAGCAGCAACGTATTTGCTCAAATAAACCTTTATACAGTTGACAAATTGAATTTCTCCTTTTGCCAGTTTTTTAGTTAGTCTCATCTTTTTATTGAAAATAAAACACCTAAACACCACTATGAACGCTCGTATAGACCACAGGCTCTTGAAAACATACTGTTTACATCCATCTTGTATTTTTCTTGAGTTTTCAGATGATCTTAAAACATTTTGCCTATATTTGCTTATGTGTGCATTGTGTCACCATGGAAACACCTGAAAATTCCGCCAATAGAGATACATGTAGATCAATACAGATGCTAATCATACTTATTACTGCCTTGTGTGTATTTATTAAAAAGTATATCAAACTTACCAAGCATGACAAACGGTATGCCCAGGTAGGTGGAGTTGTAGGTGGCTCCAGTCAGGTTGAGGATCCCCGCCGCTGTGAGACCAGATAATGTGATGGAGAGCAGAGCCAGGAGTCCTAACCAGGGTTTAGATCTGACACAGTCCCTCATCGAACAACACAGCACCGCCAGTACTCCGCACACACCCAGACTGGCCAGGAGAGGGTGCCGTGCGAGCACAGACGAGAACTGGAAATCTGTCCTTAGCGATGAAGAAGTGGAGGGGTACACAGTGAGTTTAGGATGTAGGTCTGTGAATTGCTTTAACTCTTCGCAAAACGCCTTCTCCCATTGGCTGGCCACCCTGTCCATCAAACCGCCATGTGATTGGAGGTAGTACGTGAGCTGGAGCGCCTTAGCTGACCGCACCCCTTCTCCTCTAAGCCCCAGACCTTGGACTGCCCCGCCATTGGTTACTCCTCCCAGCTGGTGCCCGATGTACGCCTGCCGTCCGTCCGCTAGCTCGGTGATGGGGTAGCGTAGAACAGGAAGTGTGCTGTTGGAGCTGCGAGCTGATTGGATCTCCTCCATGGCGCGGATGATGTCGTCGATGATGCAGAAGTTTTTGTCGTCACGCAGGCAGAGGTACGAGAAGGTGTAGTTGAAGCTGTTGAGGCCTGAAGCCGGGACGGTCACCTGCATCTGGGAGATCCTACGATGAAGCTGCAAGAAAAGAAACAAAAAAAGCAAATCATGTCCATAGGGTTGTCAAAAGTATCGAGAATCAGACACTAAAACTAATATCGAAGCTAGATACTCATTTGAGCAGGTATTACTACAGAACAAAGCTACTTAAAGACCTTTATAACGCAAAGTAAACTCTTTAAGCTATGTTAGAATGCTGTTATATTCACAAAAACACACCTGACCTTTTGTTTCATTCACAGATGTTTGAGTAATCATTTTATTATTATTCTATTTCTATCTCCAAAGCTTAAAATGCTCTTTTCCACCTTTTAATGCCATGAAGAGATAGTTTTCAAGTTAACCATTACCTTTTGTTTAGTAGATATGGGAAATTCCAGAGCCGAAATGATCTAAATGATTTAGTGAAATCTAAAAACACAGTGAAACACTTCCTGTATTACCACATGACATCACAAGGTGGATTTTAAACTCATACATTTTTATAATTTTTTTTTCTTCAGCACAGTGGCATAAATTCAACCAGGAACTATTTCCAACCTGATTGCTTCCTTCTTGTCACTTCTCTATCAGTACCACACAATCACAGCCTCTTTCTTTAGCCTCTCGACCAATCACTGCTAAAAATAAAAGTCTCCTTCCTCCTCAAAATCTCCGGATCCAGCAGAATCACCAGTCTCTCCATCTCTTTGTAGACCACTGTCACGACGATAGTGAAGTTTAGAACTCAATGATTTGATCCTAAGATAAAACAATGTACTTTTCAACACAAGTAGTTTTTAAAATAGTATCATGTGGTTTTATACTAGTTATTAAATAGAGCATTCTAAATATTCAAGAAAGATTTGTTGCACTAATTATGTGTTAGAGTCTCAATACTTGTTCAAATGAGTATCTACTTTCCATACTAGTTTTAGTATTGATCTTGGTGCTTTCCATTATAACCTATTCACAACTTGCCTGATTCATCAGACGGTTTCACTTCGTGGAAACTGTCTGACCTCGCAGCATTAGGATTTGTTCGCTCGACGGTAGGTGGGTACTTTTTTTATTTAACCAATCGCTGCTATTTGGTCATGAGGTATGTAATGTGCCGCTAACGGGGCTAACTGGTATATTAAGCTTTTCCTAAATCCCGCAGGAAGAAGGGCAAAAACGTCTTTCCCCTAGATAAAATTCACCAAACATTCCCTTTCTTCCAGCTTTAAATCCTCGATCTCGGGAATCATTGCCAACACAGAATGTATGGCTTCGTCTACATCCATCTGGACCACTTTGTTTGCTGTTGTGCTGTACCACCAAAGAGACCCAGACAGGAGTTTGAGTTTGACGTCATGGCTTCACAGCTCTTTGCTGATTGGCCGGTGCACAGTCTACAACTTCCGACGGTTCTTGCAAACAGTGTATTCTGATTCCTGACCTAGTCGGTGGAGAGAAATGAAATTGAATGGAGGCACTAGGTGGCACCAGCCTGGCTAATTCACAACCACATGAATCAAAAGAAATCATCAAACTAATACTAATGAGGAGAGAGTCTTTATCCCAAGTGATAAGTGATGACAACAAAATGTAACATTTTCATTTCACCCTATTCACAATCACATTTTGTACACTTGTATACACTTGTATAGTAGTTGAAGAAAACAAAAGAAAAAGAAAAACAAGGCAGTGGCCTATGGGTAAAACTAAAATTTTGATACTGCTATGAAAAAAATATGAAATACCAAGAATGCCATACATGGAGAATCCCAGATCTCTAAAGAAAAGTCAGAGCAAAGATGTAACTGGCTAGACTCCCTGTAGGATATTTTTGTTTTGTCAAAGTAAACTTGGTTACACAGACAGAGACACATGCTCACAGCTCTGACTCAAGACAGGCAGATTTATTATTATTGAAATAGATTATAGAGATTATAGTACTGACCCTGCAATACAGAACATTTTAACCTAATCTATGTCAGAGTGCTCCACATATTAGATTAGATTATACCAGAGTGGATGTCTCAAACGAAGGGTTAAAACAAGGTAAGCCATAAGTCAAAAGTTTTCTACATTTCTACATTTTCTATTATTACATAAAATTGACTCTTGTGAGCTTTAAGCCATGTTATAATCTCGTTACCTCCTCAGAAACAGACCTGGAGTTGCATTTTGCTTCATCCACATGTTTGAGTAACACTTTATTATGGGTCTGTTTACATCTCCAAAGATCAAAATGCTCTGCTCCACCTTGTGATGTCATGAAGCAGTACTTTTCAAGTTAACAGCTACATTTCACTAAACACTGCAAAAGCAAAGTCTAGTCAAGTTAAGATGGCTTGAATTAATAAAGTTTTATCACGATTTGAATAAATTTAGCAAGTAAAATTATCTGCCAGTGGAATAAGACTTTTTATACTTAAAATATGAAAATGCATCTTGCTACAATTAAAATGAGAAAAACAACTACTTTTTGCACTTAAAATGAGAAACAAAATGTAATGTTACTTGAATTAAGAAAAACACACTCCATTCCACTGGTAAATAATTTTACTTGTCAAGTAGAAACTACACAAATAAAGTCAAATGTTCTTAATTTAGTCATTTTAACTTAGCTAGATATTGTTTTATGTCCAGTGAAGAAGGGCTGAAATCATCCAAATGATTCTAGTGAAGGTGTGTGGAGTTTAAAAACACAGTGGAGCACTTCTAGTACTATCACATGACATCACAAGGTGGAACAGAGTGTTTTTAGTCAGAGAGAAGAATTCAGCCTAAATGTGCAGGATTTGTGTGTTAAACATGTGTGAATGAAACAAAACACTGTACACAACCACTCAGTGTTATCTAGAACAGTCTGTACAGGTTTATTCTCCGCTGTCCCTTCAGACCTCACCACTGGGTGATGTTCCACCAGCCGTCCTGCTCACTCTGTCCTCCCAAAGTCAACTTCACTGGTTATTATTTATCTTTAAATGCATTCACCTTAGACCCCATTTACACTGAAACAAATCCACGTATCACCGTATCACCACATCACCACATCGGAAACGATTTGTGTCCAGACATGTCATTTCTGTGTCCGCAAGCTTTCCCTATCCACACAGCTTTGAGCATATTTGTTTACATTTTACAGAAACGAAACTTAAAACCACATGGCTAATTTGCATGAACTGAGCGCTCAAAAAACAGCTCACTATTGTGCGCTGATGCGGTTCACCTTCTGTCGGACTAAAGGACACGACTCAGTGGATTATGAGTGTTCCTTCTGTGACAGAAGGTGATGGTGAGTCTGTTCTGTGCTTGTGTTGCGTTGGAGATGGTTCATGTTAGGGCTGGGCGATATGGATCAAAAAATATATCTCGATATATTTTGCTATATCTCGATATACGATATATATCTCGATATATGTTCAAGAAAAAATAACCCCTAAAATTGAAAACTGCAAAAACAAATCTGCCAATTCCACAAGGTCCTTTTTTTTAAATTAAAGTGTCAGAGGTCGGCAGTTCATATAGGAACATTTAAGATTACAAAAAACCCTAATTACATAAATAATAATTTAACTGTAAAATAAAAGAAATAATACATATTTCCTTCTTTTCATTCATAAATAAAACAACTCAACACAAGCTCATCTTTGCATTAACTCTGTTATCCAGGCCATAACCATGAGTTCATTTAGCAGAAGAAGCTCAGGATGTTCCTTATTTCAATAGATCCATGTTCCTATCCAGCAGTAAGGAGCTCTGAGGTTTAATCCCACAATCCACTGCAGATCAAACCCAACGTTTCCAAACACTATTGTACAAGTGACACTGAAGCAGATTATGAATAAAAATATTCTGCATAAATAAACTTTACATGACTAAACTTTACAATATATAAAGCATAACGAGTCTAGAGCCGCATCAGCCTGTTTGCGATAATAATGTGTTTAATGCAGTTTTGCGCACGTGTGTTTACATTTTACAGAAACAAAACTTAAGGGCATGGCTCATTTGCATAAACAGCGCACTTCTCACGCAGCTCAGCTCGTTTAGCTTCTTTCGGGCTAAAGGACGCGACTCGATGGAATAAGAGGATGTGCTGCTGATGGTTTTGTCTGTAAATGGTGGAAAAGGTTCGTGGTGCTTGAAGCTTTTCACTGGCACCAACATTCGGCGTTCACGGTGGTAGTGAGGAGTGAAGGAGACACGAGCGAACAAAATCAGGGAGGCCGAGGCGCGCGGAGGCGACGAGAGAGAAGGTAAACAAGCGAAGCTGTGAAATCAAAATTAAATATAAGCATTATATCGATATATACGATATGTCAGAATTCATATCGAGTTTAAAAACTATCTCGATATATTTAAAATATCGATATATCGCCCACCCCTAGTTCATGTCAAACTTTTCAGAGATTATACGTCTGCAGGTCGCACGCATAGACCATATATATGAATATATACTAGCCTCTTAGCGTTTTGGCAGTGAATAAGCAACTTCACGGCCCATAGACCTAGATCAGTGCTGGATCAGAGCTGTACTCAGATGAATTCGTGGGAGGTGGCGGCTCCAGACCATTCCGTCTCTAGAGCCATTTTCAGTCAGATTAGTGTGGACAAACACTACATCCACAATGAAAACGATTCGAATACGTACTAGTGTGGACAGGGCCTCAGTTATCCTGAATATCTTAAACAGTATTTAATTCCATTCAGATCCTCTTACAGTTTACATCATGCAGATCAGATATTTTTTGGTTTAACAAATAGGAAAACACTCATTTAAATATAAAGCTTCCTCTCACTGGAGCAATCTTCTGTCATCGATTCGCACATTAACTTCTGTCCCTTTATTTAAAAATGCTCTGGTTCAGTATTTACATAACCCGTGTCATTGTTTTTGATCATTTTGTTGTCCATCTTGTTGTATTTTGTGACTATATTTGAACTCTGACTTAGTTTTTGCTCAGATTTGATTTATTATGTGTCTAAAAGTCAAGTGTGAGTGAATGTAAGTGTATGGTTGTGTAGTTTTGTTTTCTCTGTTTATT